TTCCCTAACCTTGAATTTCAGCACCGAGTCCAAGTTACCTGTCTCCTCATTATCCTTGCAAGGCAAGGCCGTGCCCGACGAAAGCATGAGCAAAGTACTCGAATCAGTAAAAGGTGCTTCCTAAACTAGTTGCGCTGCAACCAGAATCGCATCAGAACCCTGCCACAAATTTGTTTCTTCCAACAATACACCCTTGCAAACCCCGACAGCCCGTTGCAGTTGGCCATAGTGCTGTTGCAGTTGGCCGTAGGTTGTATGTTCATACGGGGAGGCGCTGCGCCTCCCCCCAACCCCCCTCCCGCACCACTTTCTGCAAACAAATCATAATATCATGTTGTTTGAAAGCAACTCTGATATTTTTTAAAATTGCACTAAACATTATACCAGCATAGACCCCAAACAGTGTCAGCATTTTTTTGGTGTCGGCGTCAACTCCGTGAATTCCAATGCTGGTGGAAACGCCTGCAAGTATACTTTTCCATAGCCTCTAGCTGTTTGGGGACTGCACCTAACACAAAATGTTTGAACACACTAGTCACTGATGCCCGTGTCACATGTGCAAAACCGATGGGATATCTGATATCGTATATATATATATGTCATGAGAAAATCCGAGGGTGATATCACTTTTGAAACGCAGTATCACTGGAATTCATAGCCACACGAAAACATACCCAGACAAGGCGGTGGAGAAAGAAAAAGCGGCGTGGCCAAGCAGGGGACAACGCCGGGACAAGGCGGTGATAAAGGGGCCGACAACGTGGACAAGCAGGACAGGCAGACCTGGACAAAGGACAAGAGGACGACACAGAGTTTGCAATCGTGGCACCAAGAGGACAGACAGGGTTTGCAAACGTGGCCACTAGACGCAGGAGGAGGCCACCAGGGGGACCAGAGAAGGACACAGGGTTCGCCAGTGCAGCCAGAGGACGGCAGCAGCAGGAGGACAGCTGGAGGACAAGCAGAGGACAAGAAGAGGACAAGACGAGGACAAGAGGAGGACAAGAGCAAGACATGACGAGGACAAGAGGAGGACAAGAGCAGGCCAAGAGAAGGGCAAGACTAGGACAAAGGGAAGGACCTAAGAGGAGGACAAGAGGAGGGCAAGAGAAGGACAAAAGGAGGACAAGAGGAGGACAAGAGGAGGGCAAGAGAAGGACAAGAGGAGGACAAGAGGAGGATGAGAGGGTGACGAGGAGGACAAGAGCCGAAAAGGGGAGGACAAGAGGAGCGCGGCCAAAGGCCTTTCGGCCGGGCCCGCTCCTTCATTGGAGCATCATCAACTTCAAAACTTTCTATTCCGGCCAGCTGGCATTGAGCTGGGCCAGAAATTCTGCAAGTCCTGTGCGGTGTCATCAGGCTCCTCTATAGCATGCACACTCTCCGGCGCCCTCACTCCGCGTTGCTGCAGCTCAGCGCCAAAAGCAGCAGCGCTGTCCCCCATCGCTCCATACAGCTCAGGGTCTGCTGGCCAAAAGAGTGTGCTGGCCAGCGCCTGCAATTGTGACTCGTGCCTCAGTGTGAGGGAGACAGGAGCTGCCCCACAGTTGCTGGGTCTGGGATTGATGCTGCTCGGAGTCACTGTTTTTGCCTCTTCCTTTGCCCTCGCCCTTGCCCTTCTGTCGAAGTCCTGACGACTCCTCAGGGTCCTCCTCCGGCTTGGCCCTCTTCAAAGGGGGTTGGGCCAAGAGGCCGCCCACTGCATCCAGTCCGTCTCTTCCATTCCGTTGTCGAGCGCAGACATAGGACACAGGTTGAGGGCGACAGGGCGCCGCTCTGACACCATCGGCAGCATCCCAGCTCTTCAGGGCTCACCACCTGTTCATAAGTGGACAGGAGGACAGCTTGACCAATGTGGTGGTGGGTCATCATGTGATCTTGCAGATCGTCAACAGGCAAGTGCTTTACAGGCAAGGCAGCGTGCTTCAAGGCTCGGGCGGAGATGTGGCTGGCGCCAGATGGAGGCATAGTTGGCTGCGTCCACCAGAGCCCGTAGCCTGTGGGGGACCTGAGGGTGTTGGCTCGGTTGGAAGTGGTGTGCAAGGATGCCGGCCTGGGGCAGAATGGGACACTTGTGACCGGACTTGGCTGGGCGAGGGACAGGGCAATAACAGCGCTGGGAGTCCTGGAAACTTGCTGTAGACATGTTGAACCCAGTCATGGGCCGCCTTCATAATCTCTGCATGATCTCTCGTTGTGGCGCCGCGTGCATTTTCGGACATGGTGGTTGCGTACTTTTCGTGGCAGGTGCAAGGGAAACCTCGAGTTTCGGTGGTGCAAGGCCGACTTGTCGCGACAGGCGCAAGGGATCGGAGCTTCGAAATGCAGATTTCATGGCAGGTGCAGCGCTTTGGACATGGTGGTGATCTTCGAGGCGCTCTGATTTCGTGACAGGCGCAGTGAATCGTGACTTTTGGACATGTGGCTCGTTTGCAGATTTCGTGGCAGCGCTTTGTGTCCCTCAAAGTGCACATTTCGTGGCAGGCACAGCGCTTTGTAGATTTCGTGGCAGGCGCAGCACTTTGTGAGCCTCGAAGTGCAGATTTCGCGACGTGCAGCAATTTGTGAGCCTCAAAGTGCACATTTCGTGGCAGGCCCAGCGCTTTGTGAACCTTGAAGTGCAGATTTCAGATTTCAAGGCAGGCGCAGCGCTTTGTGAACCTCAGAGTGCAGATTTCGTGGCAGATTCTCACTCTCACGCTCTCACCCACTCTCACTCTCGACTCATTCTCACCCACGTTCACCCACGCTCTCACCCACGCTCTCACCCACGCTCTCACCCACACTCACATTCACACTCACACTTGCTCTCACTCTCACTTTTACTCTCTCACTCTTACTTTGTCACTCTCACTCTCTCACTCTCGCTCTCTCACTCTTTCACTTTCACTCCCTCACTCACAATCACACTCACCGCCACCATCACCACGATCTCCACCTTCATCACCTCTCTGGACCCCAATGCGTCTAGATCTCTAGACTTTCTGCTGCTTCACATCTAGAGCTCACACAGACTCACACACACTGATTGGGGTCTCTTGCTGGGATAATTTTAAGGGAGGACCCCAGCAGTAAACTCCCCAACAGTAAGCTGTCTGGGGAACAGCTGATTTTCCCAAGTTTGCAAAGCCCGAGTGCACTATTGCCCACCACTGTCGCTAGTGTTGCAACTAGAAGTATTACGGTTAAAGTTGCTGCTACCGGTGGTGCCGCTACAACCTATTCCGTTCTCTTCTTTACAGGTACTTGACTAAGACCTCCACTCTTCCAAAGCTGACTCAGGCTGACGTAGACACAAACTCTTGCAAAATCTGCAAGGGTGGATACCCAAACCTCGCAAATGAGGGTGCCAGGTTGCTGCGGCTACTGACAAAGCGATTGTGAACTTTGACCCCCACAAAGCGATTATAAACCTGACAGGACAAGGCTTTCACTCTTGCAAAACCCCACCAACGGTGGATGCTACCCCCAACCCCCTCCCCCCTCCACGAAATCTATGTGGCTACAGCTGGAGAAACCTTGCACGGGGACCCAGGGACGGAATATAGATTCTGGTTAGAATGGTTTAATTGTATTTTTTTGATGTTACCGAATTAGTATTAAATGTTACTTGATTGGATGAACTGTGTTTTCAGGCTTGTGCTGGTTTTGCTGCCCGGAACTGTAGAGACTTGTCTGCACCAAGCCGTCCAAAAGCCTGCACACTCTTGGAATTTGGTGCCAAGGTTTGGGCCGCTGTGAGCCGTCAGTCAAAGGTGCGTCTAGAACAAAGGGCATGTTGGATCAACAGGTTTTGATGCCTTGAGCTATCCAAAAACAACTTTGGCACGGGCATTCAGGTGGTTGCGGCCTTTGCACAGTTGGGTGACCTACAGGAACGGTCTGACCGTCAGCAAGCATTGGCTACAAAGGCTGTTGAGGTGGACAAGTGCCTTGGCCCGAGAGTTTCCATATTGCATCCACAAGCAGTACACAATGGATCAGCAGATAGTTTTGGACAAACCAAAAGAACGCGAATACACTTGGGCACACTGAATTTTGGGTCAAGCTCTCCAACTTCATTGCAAAGCCATGAGATGTGCTGTTGTTGCTCTCAGGCAGTGGTTTATGATCGGAGTTACAAATATGATTCTCAGTGCCTACATACTGGGCGCTTTCCCAAACCTTTACTACCTCTACTTCACGCCGAAGGTTCTTACGCTGATCATAGTACGTTTGGTGAAGTTTTATCGGAAAAAGCAGCATTTCCTTCTGCATCCTGGCTGAACCTGGGGCGTCTCGATTATTTCAAAGAAATGCCAGATGACGGGATGCCGAGAATAGTTGGTGTTGGAGGCCATTGCTTCTAGGTTGGACGCTATTAGGTTGGAGGCCATCGCTATTGGCAAAGCTGTGTGTGTGCGCCATGAGTCGACAACACAAAAGCTTTTACAGAGGCCACAAGAAGCAGTTTCGGGATCAAAAGGCTCCGGTCCACAACATCCCTTTTGCATCAGCTAAGTTGGGATTTCTGCTACTGGGCGAATTTCCTTTGTATTTTCTACTGCTGGGCCGAAGACTTAGAATTTATATAATTGAAATTGCGTATTGAGCCTGAAGATTCGTCTAGACTCTAGACTTGATTCAACAAAACATGCTTAAGCCAAATCACTGAAGTCTCCGAGGTGATGCCAACATCTCCAGCAGTTTTCCGCAACTTGCCTCAACTCAAAGGTTCTTTAGATCCTATGCTTTTAAGCACCTACCCTTCAGGCACTGTATTCATGTGTGCAAATGGCCCGTTGGCATGGAGCGTGCTGGCCTTCAACCATGCAATGATTTTTCATTCCTATGTTTCCTGGCAGCTATCAGATGCAAATTTTTCAGTTCAGCCAGCAACACGCTTCTAGGGGCTCCTGGCATCGCCATTAGGAGCAAGGACGCTACTAGGGGCTCCTGGCCTTACTACTAGGAGCAAGACGCTACTAGGGGCTCCTGGCCCTAGCCATTTTGCCTGACAGGCCCACATGACATCCGTTGTGGTACATGTTTCTCCTCTGCTTTTGTCCTATGGACTTCGCTGGTATGCGGCACCTATGTCAGAGTCTTCCATGGGAGCGAAGCATTTCCTTGTGTGCGACGGTGATGCTGAAAGTTGTCTGAATGTATCCTTTCAAGATTTGCTGTGCGGAACCCTGGTGCGGTTCTATCTTTGGTGGCTTGTTCTCTACTACATTTGGATCTTCGTCGCCTTGGGCTCCTACATTGAACGGCATGCTTACCAGACCCTTTGGGATCGTATACTTGCGTGGTACCTCAGAGTGTCGGACACATTTGTGGGCCCATGCCCACCTCGTGCAGTTCCGTATCCGATGCATCACGACATCATATGAGCGACAGATGAGCTATACCATTTGATTTGCATCACGGTACTTTTTCGATGCATTTGGTGCTGTCATGAGGTCATGAAGCCAGTGGGACCTTTCTTGCAGAAACTTCTCAAAAGCTGGCCAAAGCTTCTGGTGCAGCTTGTGTACTTGTCTTCCTGCCACGCTTAATTTGTCTATGCAGACTGTTTTCTAGTCAGAATCGATCCAGTTGACTACTCTGTAGATATTTTTGCAACCATCCAGTCCATCATGTAAGAGAAATGGATAGAATTTAAGCTCTACGTAAGGTTTCGATGCTAAGGTCAAGGTTTCGATGGTCACTCTAGGTTCAAGCTCTCATCTGGTAGGCCTGTTGTCTTTTAGTTGGTAGTATTCCACAATCCCGGTGCCAGGCTTGTACATTTGGTGTTCTCAGCTGGTACGATGTGCGTTGCTGTGGTCCTGTGGCACTCGCAGTTGGCGCACTTTATGTTTGTATGCACAATTGGGCTGTCTACCATAAAGAGACATGGCAACAAAGGTTCTAAGAGGTCTAAGAGCATTGCCCCCGCAGCCTTCATGTCAGTGTCTTTCTTGTCTCATCGACTTTAAGCCATGTAAACGAAACCAGATGTCAGGCCGTGTCACTTAGCTCCAGCATTGGCCGTTCTTGAAATCTTGAAATGCCAGATAGATCCCAAGAGAGTCCTTTTCCAAAACTTGCTGAGTTCTCGTTTGGCTTTTGGCAATTGCCGAGTTGTTTTTGTCTCAGGAATGCGGCTGAGTTTTACTTCGATGTCATTGGCAGCAAGTACGAAGAAGCTGCTGCAAACGCAAAGGTTCCTGTAACTTGGCCTGTGTCCGCTCAGAGCAGCAGACACAAGCTCAGTTTTTGTACAAATAGCTAGTAGTCACAAGTGATTTGTTTTGTTTTTAATCTCTGGCGATGCAGTGGGAAGGGGGCCCACAGTAGAGGACTACTTTTCAAAATCAGTTCTAGGATGCCAACTCAGAAGTCGCCAGAAACTTTCTCAGGTGAGCAAAAAGATTCTCAGTGCTTCTGGAGCTTTGAGTGAGCTGTCGGAACCCATGAAGAAATGAGGCAGTGCTGCATGCTTGGCTCCATGTCTATCCTGTCCGAAAAGGAACATTAAAAATGCTATACTATACATACAAATATCGTCCTTGCGATTTGGAAGTGGGCTGGCGGCAAACAAGAACATGAGATCCTTTGCATTCCTTTAAACGATTGATCAGGTTTCCAACATGGAGACAATATGCTCACTGCATATTTCAATAATTATTTGGTGGTTTAAAAGCTGGCTTGACAAAGTTTCGAGCACAGTGCAACAGGTTTAGGAAGGTTCGAAGACCTAGAATCTGCCAACGAAGTGATTCAATGCAGACAGCGTTGCGCATGGTCGTCAAAGATGTGATGGCTTGTTGGTGGCTCTATTTCTTTCAACATGCTGGCTGAGGTTTTGCATAGCAGTGATCTACTTTGCCCAAGCCATAGTGTTTGATGTCTCGAGTTTTAACTAGATGAACAGGCCACCCAGGCCACCAAATACCTTGAAATAGGCTTGATGGATGTGAACAGCGGCCTTGTTTCATGTTGTCTCAGCCCTCCGACTAGTGTAGGAATCCGAAGTGCTTTGTTGCCATCAGATCCTGAGTTCTCTCGAGGCCTTCATCATGTGGCAAGCATACTGGACACTGGATGTGGAGGAATGGCAGAATGGCTGGAAGGTTTCCACCTTATCAGCTTTTCAGAGAATTCTTAGGACCTAGGACAAGCTACCTGTTGGGTTATATAAGTGGCCAGGCAGTCATCATTGCATGGCGCTTTGCCATTTTGGGTGATTTCGAAGTGGATGAACTTGAAGGTCAAGAAGGCTCGCACTTGAGAAGATTCAAGTGACAGACAAGTGACATGGCAAGCTTGGAACTTTCAATGCATCTCTTGAAACCTGAGGTACTTGGCATCAGGCCAGCTTAGATTGGTGCGGCTAGGCTCGAAATTAGCATCTCCTGCTTGAGGTAATTGACAATGAGGGTGGAACTATGCTCACCTATGAGGCTTGAACGTCTACAATTAACATGGCACGATTGTTTTACTTTTTTCAGTTCATTCTGCCCTGGTTCGCACAGCAGGATCCTGAGCTCACAAAGAACGCTACAGTGGTGTTTGGCTCAGAGGACAGAGCTTTTTGCTTTCTGAATGGATCAGATTAGCTTCCGAGGTTCGTGGTGTTTTCATTTTGCTCTGCGGCATCATGTTTCCTGTGCTGATCATGAACATCTTGATCTCTGTGCTGAGTGCAGCTACCTAAGCCAGAACCACTATTGCTTCAAAGCACTTGGGTGGGTCTTCAACGTGTTTCTGGAAAGCCACATACGGATGCTTCGGCTGGAAGACAAAACATACAATTCTGAGCCTTGAAGTCGTGAAGTTACCACAATTGATGCCTTCATGTGTGCACTAGTCTAGTGTACCAGGTGTACTCAACTTTTGTGCAAAAGCAGCTTCACCCCTGGTGAAGACCCGGACAGGTCTGGCTTGATTTTGCAATCAAGAATGTGGCGAGCTTTGAATGTGGTGCTAAATGAAACCACACAGCAGCCACATACCATCACATACCATCACATACCTGCATGCCTTCAGTTTGGGGGGCATACCTGTGAAGTCTCGAGGTATGGCTGGACTTTCAACAGGCTAGGGCAAGAAGAGTGCTTCGGTACAAGGTGCGCAGGACTTGCTTCAGCTCTACATGGGATCTTATCCATTTTTGGCCAAGGCAATGACTTATGCTTGTCGAAGACGACAATGTTGTCTCAGACCCAAGGAGCCCTGCATTATTTGGGTCTAATTTAATGTTAAACTCTATATATACTTATATATAGTAGTTTCTCTTGGCACAGGACAAAGCGTCCGATGGAAGTGCTTCAGGCCACCCTGGCCAGTTTCGTTGCAGAGTTGCAAAAAATGGCTCAGTCTCAGTTTGTGTGTTTTGCAGGTGGATGGTTGGATCTACTTTTATAGATGATTGCAAGTGTAGTTGCAAGATGTATGAAGTAAGCAACAAGTGCAACTTCCAGAGGGTGATGTTGCACACAGCCCCAACGTTGCCAGTGTCATCTACTTTCTGCCGAGCAGGCGCAACTGCGTGGCAGCATGTTAAGGTAAAGATTGCCAGCTTCTGAGGTGAGAAGCCATCCTATATTTGGTTTTCGGCTCCAAAAGAGGAGGACCGTGCTCAAAGAGCTGAAAAGTCATACATGCTTGTCCATTCTTCAGATACCAGGTAGATCCTGACAGAGCCGGTGGGTATGCAAAAATTGATAAACTATCGGAAGTGGTGGTTTCGGAGTCTGATGATCTTTGATGTTGCGATGTAATGCGCAATCCGCATGCGCCGGAAATTTAAAACATCGGGAGATGCCATGTCGTGGTTGGTCACGTAAGCCAGACTCAATGCAGTTCATGAAAGGCTCTTGATGTCGACGTTCACTCCCAATGATGTGAGTTGACCCAACCCTGTGAAACGACCTGATATAGTCAACTGCTAGAAACGACATGATAATTCAAACTATGGGACTATGTTCGATTTGCTGCACTTTGTCACCATGGAAATCATTTTATATAATTTTATCAAGTTCCACAACGCTGCGTGTGGGTAACGGTGCTATTGAATGAGGTGGTCACAGGCAAGCTGATCAAGCTGCGCCATTGACAGACTGCGCAACTCTCGCTCTGTTGCTGTTGCATGCTGTGCAAGCAGCCAAGCCTGGCAACCCACGGGCGGTGTGTAGAGCAACGGACCGCAAAATGTCTTGAGACGAAAGCGTTTTGCGGTCTCTAGAAGAAGAAGAAGAGATCAGTTCTGAGTGCCTTTTGCTGACGACCCGAGTCTTTGATGGAGAGCCAAGCCAATATCGAAGCGATAGCTGAGCGGTTTAGTGTACAAATCCCGGAGTGATCCCTTCCCCATTCAGGTGACACAGTACGATGCTAATGTCGCATGGACCGCATTGAAGACAGGTTGCTGGCAGGATCCCCCTTGGCAAACCGGTCAGTCGATTGGTGCTGGGTAAGCAAATGTTGGTCAATGAAGCTTCGTTCCAAAAATGGTACGTGTCGCACTGGCAACTGCTTTGGAGGGGATCTTTTGACAAGAGCAGCTTCTCAGTTTCTTGTTCTGACAGAAGCTTTACCTGCAGGTGAAAAGGTGCAAAGGACAACCAAACCCTGCAAACCGATGAAGATGATATAGGGAGCTACCAAAGCAATAACCACAGCGCGGGTGAGCATGGTTTGCTTGGAGGCTGTGCCTGTTGCCCACGTGGCGAAATAGGGCAGTAACTACATTTTGTGTGAAATGTTTGTTGTTCAATGACTCACCCAATGTCTGGGCTTATGTCGGGCGCGCCAGCCATAGATAGATACAAGGAGCCAAAAAAGTTTATAAAGCAACGAAAACCAAAAAAGGCAAAAGGTAAAGCAAACAAAAAAGCAACTGTGCGTGTGCGTGTTTGTCGCTTTTTCATTTTTTTTACCCGCTTTATTTTCCCAATTTTTTCGCATGTTTTTCGCTTTTTTCCTAGGAGCGTACAGCAAATATTGCTGACGGGTAAAAGTTCTCACAAGTGCAGAAGTGGTACCAGGAAAAAAAACAAAACAAATGCAAAACCAAAGCAAATTGCGCTGCTTTTGCATGTTCATTTGCTTTTGTTTTGCTTTTTATTGGATGGTTGGTCATGGCTGCCATTGCCCAACATAAGTCTGGGCGATGTGAACCTTCTCCAGCACGTCACGTCGACCATGGCCGAGAGTGCTGCACAAATGCAACCGCTCCCATTGCATTTATGTCCCACAGAGGCTAGAATCCGCGTTTGTTGTACCCGTGCACTCGCACTCGCGAGAGACTTGTAGCTCACCACTTTCTCTTTTGAATTTCCTTTTTAACTCACAAGTCGATTCTAGAAAGAGCATGCTGGCAGGAAGTGCTCCACCAAGACGTCGAACCAGGTCTCAATCTGAAGTTCAAGGCGCTGTTTGAGTGCATGTGAAGGCTTTGCATGAATTGCAGTTCAAGGATGTTAGAGGCACAATCAATTCAGTGTTTGCAGCCTCAAATTGTCAGTCCAGCTTGGCTACGGGCCAAAAGACGATAGGATTGCAGAACGCTAGCCGCTAGATCTTGGAAACCGATAGGGGACGGTCTAAGGGGACGGTCTAAGTTGAAAGCCCACATAAGAAAGGTTGCATGTAGCCTCATATGTTTCCTTTGCAGGAAGTCACTGAAGGTGCACAAAAACTTGATTCCAGGCGTGACAAGGGGGTTGCTGAGTCTTGTTGGTTGTCTGCATGTCGCATAGATGCCTGCATTCATAAATCTCATATACACATAGATAAGCAATGATAAGCATGTATATGTATATATATAGATACACTTGTATGTGATCTTTTTTTTTTTTTTAAGGGCTGACGCCCGACAGCCGGCCATGGTTGTCGTTGTTGTTGTTGTCGTCGTGGTTGTTGTGGTTGTGGTCGTCGACGTGGGCCTGTTGGGCCTATGTTGAGCCCATCTTCGGCCTACGGCGGCCCATCTTGGGCCTATGTTGGGTCATCTTGGGGACCTCTGTTGGATCATCTTCGGGCACACTTTGCGCAATTTATGTTGACACGGGCCCATCACCCAAAAAATATCAAAAAAATGCCGATTATGCATGTCTGCGCGGTGCGCATTACCGACATCACCCTTGGAAAACACATGGTTTTTGCATTTCGTGACCATTTTCCCACCACGATTTTTTTATATTTATCACCCCCACAAAGCTCTGTAAAAAATAGTGCTTTTTGAACGTCGCAAGCAGAATCCACTGTAAAGCACAGGCGGCGGAGGTTGCCCCCTGGCTCGGCGGCAGGGGGTGGACCCGCTCTCTCCTTCGAGGACACGGCCAAAGGGGCTCGGGCCCCTGGCCGGATTTTAAGGCTTACGCCTGACAGCCGGGCGTCGGTCCAACACGGGGCAAAAGTAGGACGGTAGCTTAGAGGGGATAGAGGCAAAAGACATGAGGCGACAGTGGCCGGGACGTCGGGCATCCCGTCAACATCCTTCAATGTGGAGGTCAGCCCGGGTGTATGTAAGAGACACCGAAGGTCGGGAGAGCCGTCGCGCTCTCTCTCTCTCTCTCTTTCTCGTTGGCTTGCTTAGGGTCTCTTTCCCTCCATGTCTTTCTCCCTCTCTTTCCCTCTCTCTCTCTCTCGCCTTTTGTTTCTGTCGCTCTCTCTCCGCCTGTTTCTCTCTTTCTTTCTTTCTTTCTTTCTGTCTTTATTGCTTTCTTGCTTTCTATCTGTCTGTCTGTCTGTCTGTCTGTCTGTCTGTCTGTCTCTCTGTCTCTCTGTCTCTCTGTCTCTCTGTCTCTCTCTCTCTGTCTCTGTCTCTTTCTCTCTCTGTCTCTGTCTCTGTCTCTGTCTCTGTCTCTCTCTCTCTCTCTTTTTGAGACTGTGCGGGGCCTATGTTGCCATATCTTGAGGCTATCTTGGCCCATCTAGGGGCTATGTTTCCCATATCTGGGACCTATGTGGGGTCATCTTGCGGCTATGTGTGCCATATCTGGGACCTATGTTGGGTCATCTTGAGGGCCTCTGTCAGAGCATCTTGGAGCACATTTTCCGCCTTTGATGTTGGCGCGCGCCGGGCACCCACAAAATGTCGATTATGCCTGTCCGCGCGGCGCGCATTACCGACAGGTCGGTCGGTCGGTGGGTCTCTGTCTGTCTCTGTCTGTCTCTGTCTCTGTCTCTGTCTCTGTCTGTCTGTCTGTCTGTCCTGCTGCCCTGTAGACTGCCCAAAACGGGCTGGCGTCACAGCGAGGGGTTTGGGGCCCGGCAAACGACACCATCTACTTCCACACCAAAGAGGGGCGAGGCGCCAGAAGCTCACTCCCAAGGCCCCCGGCAATCTGCTCCACCACGCTTTTCCACCATGGTATGGCCGCTCCCAGACAAAGCCGTAGGAGCCACAGTAGCAGCCGCAGCGAGCGGCGCAGCCAGCCAAAATGCCTAACGTTGCCTGGCACGTTGCGCAGAGGTCTAGTCCAGGGCTGGTGTCGCAGCGGAGGGTTTCAAGCCTAGCCAACGACACAATTTACCAAAAAGGGTGAGCCGCAGCCAACCAAAATGGCTAACGTCGCCTGGCACGTGGCCTTCGGGAGCCCATAAAACAGTTGCCTGGCACGTGCCAGAAGCTTCTAGGCTGGTGTGGCCAGTGAGCAGTCCAGCGGAGGGCTTCAAGCCTAGCCAACGACACCATCTATTTCCACACCAAAAAGGGGCGAGCCGCAGCCATAAAGCAAGGCTCCCGGCAATCTGCTCTGCCACGCTTTTCCACCATGGTGATGGCCACCAGACGGCAGCATGGCCACTCCCAGACAAGGCCGTAGGAGCTATAGTAGCAGCCCGTAGCGAGCGGTGCGGCTAGGGTGGGCCAAAACGGGCTCGTCGCAGCTTATGAGGTGCAGGCCAAGGTCTTCTAGGCTGGTGTGGCCAGTGAGCAGCCCAGGTGATGGCCACCAGGCGACTGTATATGTACACAGTACATGTTACTACCACTACGTAACTAGCAGCCAACAAACACATCCAAGGCAGTGAGGATCTCTCACTCCAAACGCTGACACCATACCAGTGAAGTCAAAGATGATAGTTTCTAGCGATGGCAATAGCAATGGCCTCCAACCTACTCGCGATGGCCTCCAAGCCAGTTCCAAACAGAACAGGTTCTGGATATACAACATGGCTTGGTCGTGAAGAACTTGCTATTTTCACTTCTGAGTGATGTCTAGACTCTAGACCGCAGATGTGACCGTCAAGGAACTTTCAATCACTGTCTAGTTATATACTCTTGCGACTTGGAGTTGGAAGCGGGATTGACGGAGTTGCCTCACAAGCCACCCAGAAGGGTTTCGAAAGTATACGTTCAGTCCACCATAGTAGCCAGCCTCCGGCACTGGTTTGATTTTCAATTGCAGGCAGTGGAACTTGGCTTTGGGCTATATATAAAGTAGTGGTGCTGTTGAAAACCATTATATACATTGAATCCAACCCTGACAAGACCCAGCGGATAAATCCAAAGCAATAAGTCTTGTTAGATCCAACGAAAGTTTGGAAACTATTTCCAAGAACATAAACGATGCACGGCTGCAGACAGACATATTGTGAAGACCCGTGTTTTGATTGCTGAGGACTTAAAACTGCAAGGTCAAACCTTGCCAAAGTGAACATCACAGAATGCAGAATGAGGGAAGGGAAGGGAAGGGAAGGGAAGGGAAGGGAAGGGAAGGGAGGGAAGGGAAGCGAAGATTCGCAAGAGAGAAGGGACGAGAGTGGGTTTGATGGAAATTCTATTTTTCCGATAGAGTCCGATAGAGGTAGCTAGTTTCTGAGCAGCACCTGCCGTCTGAAAACACGTGAGAAAGTGTTTAAACAACAACGTAAGAAAGTGATCTTCGGATGTGCGGTTTTGCCAGAAGCATGCTCAATGCACTGTAAAACGATCAGGAAGAAAAAGAACGATAACCCCCGGATAAGTGTGTTGAGTATGGACCAAACACTCTTGCCGGGTTTGCACCAGGCACAAAAAACGATAACAGAAGCAATAACGCAGAGAGTGCAAAAATACATTCCTGTAGACAGGCCAACACATGTGATCTCCAGACAGTATGAGGGGAGGGATGATGTTTGGTGAGTGCACAGGCTTCTAGCATGGAATTGTTTGGAAGTAATTGTGCATACATATGTCTTCATGTTCACCGTATAATGCACATTCATGTTGCAGTCAGTCAAAACACTGTAAACCGATAAGGAAGACAAAACGATGACGTCAAAAGTGGTATAGGGAAACATAATTGGTCTTTCACACTACCTCATGTCAGGTTGAAAGAATTGGAGAAGAACATGCAGGCCGTTGGAGCATTGGGACTGGCTGTGACAGGCTTCAAGATCATGGAGTGCAGTGCACATGCATTCAGATACTGGTCGACACGACCACAAAGAATGAAAGAAGACGCGACCGGCCCGGATACAATGCTCTGAACACTGTAAATTGTAGTGTGCTGGGCTGGCTGGTTGCATGCACAACCTCTTTTGTAAGACCGGCATTCGTTCGCGCTTTTCCATGTTGATAAGGTGCCAAACAAACCTTCGACAAAGCGCAATTGCCTCAGTTTACCTTTGCACCACTTTCTGAAGTTGCACCATCCTGCAGGTTTACTCCTCAAGGAACCGCAAACCCTGGCTTTACTGCTTAGGATTTCTGCTTCCAATGTGTTGGTGCGACAGCAAAGGGCAAGTTGTCGTAGAGTTTCAATATGACAAGCACAGACTTACTTGGGCCGACAGCGAATGCATTGGGAGCTGTAGTTCGTTTGCAAATGCATCCACTTGACTCCAAGCTTGGCAAAGCCAAGCGTGGTGCGGTGAATTCTTGCCCTAGTCTCTGACGGGCCCTGGGGCGAGTAAATAGCTTGCTGTGGTTTGCTTCTTGGTGCAAGGGCACATAGGAAGCAAGCACTTGCAAGCCTTGGGGCTGAATGCCACCATTATGGAAAAGTACCGCGATGGTCTTTGCTTGCCCTAGCTTGTTGCCTTGTTGCGATCAGCCACTGCTTCAACTGCTGATCAGCCACTAAGATGTTCTGATGTGACCTATGCTCGTTCAGCAGAGTACGTAAGTCATCACAGGCATCCATTGCAAATATGCTCCAAATTGCTCCAAGCATTCTGGAAACAAACTCAGCAAAGCAAAACAACACTCTTATTTCGAAGAACCCATGCACAGTCGAGTTGGCTTTCGACCTTGGGATCAAATATCAATCCAGCGCTCTTTGCTCTCAGCCGTCTCAGCCATAATCTGAAGCCACTGACAATCCGCCCATCCAAGCGGTGCTATGAAGCCCACGGTCCCGACAGTGCTATGGATGGGATGATTTTCGCCCAACTGTTGGCCCCTTGACCAGGCAACAGCTGAACAGAAAGAAGGTAAGCAGGTGGGTCCTTTGACAACGGGCCGTTTGTTTTTGTAAAACTGTTAAACTAGTTATATTCGTTTTGCTCTTCATTTCAACATGATGCGACTGGCCTTCACTGGTACTCGTATCAATGTTGAGCCAGGTGGATGTCTGCCCGAAGTATGACGTCTGCTGATGCGAACCTGCGGTGGGGTAGACCGAATCTAGGTTCAAGATGCGACTGCTGTTGCTACATACAGCTTTAGAGTTGAAGTATAAGTTTGTCGAAGAGTACACTTAAGCAGCACGAGGTAGCCGAGGTAGCAACACAGTACAGCATGCTAACTTTCATAGTTTTCAATGTAGTGTTGCAACTCAGGAAGAATGCCTCGGCTCCTCCATGGCGACCTGCAGCTGAGGTGCAGAAAATAGACCGCCGTAAAATACTGTAAATACGTACAAATACGACAATAAGCTACTAGGAACAAGTGCATCGCTTCTAGTAACAAGTGCCTTACTAGTAACTAGTAGTAACAAGAAGCTAGTAGAAACAAGACTTAGTAATTAGAATTAAGTTAAATTAGAACGTTTGTAAGAAGGCTCATGGCAGCTGAAGACGTGCTGTATACGAACTCGCATGACTGAGAGTTAGGTTCAATGCCGTAGCATACATTGGGGAAGCATACCTTTTAAGGTCCCACCATGTCATTCGATGTTTGCTGCATTGTTGAGAGAACCCAGCGCGTCATTAGTGCGCAACATGAAGCAGAGTACAGCCCTCCTCTTTCCCCTCAGCTTTGATACCTTGCAAGGACCCCCCATGGCGCCGACTTAAGGACAGCCAAAATCAAGATTGCTTTATAACTTCTCTTGGTGCATTCACTCACTATCTTGCAATAACGATGCTTTGTCTTCTCGCTCCTCCAGCCGCTCTTCCTCCTTTATCCTTTCTGGCCTTTGCCCCCTCCATGCCTCTCTTTCTCTCGGCTCTTGCTCACTATGCCCTGTCTGAGTTTCAACCAGTGAGGAGACGCGCAGCGAGACCCAGGCCTTACTGCGCTTGTGGTTTAACAGCTTGCAGCTTTCGCACCGTGCAGGTGTCGATGCAACAAGGTGGAAGCAGCGCAAGCGATTGCAGGCGGAGCCCCTCAAAGGACCCTCCTTGCATCCAGTATTCATTTCAGAAAGTGAAGGTCACTATATAAATTCAAGGTCACTATACCATGATACCTGACACATCCTGACACATTGACACATTTAGTCTCTCCGGATCTACAGGGGATTGGTGTGCTGACGCCCCGCACCACATGCAAAATCCCGATAGCTGTAAGAATCCTCCCTTTCATTGGAACACACAGTTTAAAAGATGTTTCTAAGAAGTCTCGAACAAGCTATTTTCAAGAAGCCATACAAGGAAAAGTTCTGCAAAGGTCTTGCTTCCAGGACCAACCTGCTCAAGCTGCTCAAGCTGAAGCCAGAAACAAACCTGAGAAACCTGAAGAGAAGTCTCCGAGGGGAGAAGAGAGCCTTCCAGGGAGGCCAGAAGAAAGGCTTCCAGAGAAGTTGGAGGAGAAGCCTCCAGAAAGGCTTGAAAGCACGGCCAAGGCAAGATTCTCAGAGAATGCTTTTTGGGTTTGGTCAAGTCTCAAATTCTAGCTTGTCAAGCGCTTTGCTGTTGTCAGAGTCAGTTGTACAAGGCTCCCACAGCAGAGGCTTCTAGATGAGCGCTCAGCATTGTGGGATCTAGATTCGAAAGTCTAAAAGAGATCAAAAGCATGACTGCAGCTGACAAATCAATGATTGCAAGGAGAATTTGAGATTGGCGAGAAGGTCCGATACTGGAGCGGAACCCACGCGAAATGGGCCCGGTGCCTACAGAGCCCGCAGCGAAACTTTCAACATGTTTCCACTTTTGTCTCAGGTGGAGGCGCATGTCCAACGAATCAATAAAGGACCAGAAGGCGATCTCATCTCCTATGACTTGACTGCAAAAGCGCAGGCGCAATCACTGCACTTTCAGCATCAAAATCATCAACTATCCACAAGTATCCATATGCTGTAGGACGGGATACCTTCGGGATACCTTTCATGATCACTGCATAAGTTCACTGCAAAAGCAAAAGCATTGGTAATTGGTGAGGCAGATATTTCTAGAGTGAAAGATGCCTCCACAGCAGAAGATGCGTTGTGACCTCAAAGTCCGCACAGCCTATCAGAAGCAGTCTCGCACGAGCAAGCTCGACAGAACTCTGTTCATTCTTTTGGAGTTTGGAGTTTGTTCAAGGCCTCCACCTGTGGCTGGAAGCTGAGAAAGATTGAGAAAGAGTAGTTGCTGTTTGCAAGAAGGAGGTTCTTTGTGTGCGTGGAAGTAAGGCACCTGCCAGGGTGGCTCCACATGAAAGTGCAGATGGAAAGGCGGCAGATCAGGCAGAAAGACCTTGTCAAGATTTCTCAATTCTCAGCAGAAAGATCTTATGGTCGTTTTCACGAATCTGGTCCGAAAGGTCCCTGAACTCCAGTTCGACAAAGGGGTAGAGGCGCCTGGGTAATCCTGCGTAGCCTTGGTGGAAGCTGTGCAGCTTGAAATTGGGCGGATTTGAAGATGTGATTGACTCGACCAACTGTTTGAGGCTCTACTTGTACTTTAGTAGCATTTTTTCTGACGACATTAACACATGCTGTGTGTGTGCTAATATGATGCACGCCGACTGGACTGCTTCTGAGCTAAAGACCAGTTCACATATAGTATAGCAAGCGATAACAGTGAAATCATGAGCAAGACTGCGGGCCTCACTTTCGTTCCTACGAAAATGTTGCTCACTTTTGTCACACTCTTGTTGCCACTTAGAAGCTCCGAGTGAACCTCCTCTACCTGGGAGAGCAGCACGGCAAAGGGGCGTGCGACCGCTTTTTCGGTTGGACGAACACATGGATCTTCGATCATCTTCGAGATCACCCAATCCACGGTATCAAGGATCTGGTGGACGTATACAGAAAGGGAGGTGCCAACATCATGCAAAAAGACCCCAATGGGCCACTCTTCGTTGTCCGCACGTTTGAGCCAGGCAAGTTCCGCCCCACGCAGCGAAAAACTTTTCAGCGCAGCCCTTTCAAAATTACAAGGACATACAGCTTCACAGCTGAAAAGAACTTACGCAATGAGACTGCCACCATCCGGAACAACGTTTTCAGTGACTTTAAAGCCCAAGACACCCGTGCCCCATGGACCATTTCTGAAACGCATGCTGATGAGCCAGAGCAGCGGCGACGTGGGTATTACGATAAGCCACGCTCTTGGGAAAGTGTAGGCCCACAAGCTGGAGACATCAATGATGAGCTTGCCAGGCTGCCCAAAAGTCCTTTGAGTCGTTTGTCAGTTCAGCCATGCCACGGCCAAAAAGGTCCATCGAAGACAAGCTCTCTGCTAAAGCCCGTGCTGTGAGCCGACAAGCAGCCAAGAGGCGAAGGCAAATGTCATTTGTGAGGCGCCAAAAAGAGCAAACATTTGATACTGCCGCTGCTCCATCCTCGCCTTCATCTTCTTCTGCATGGTCTTCATCCTCGTCGTCATCAAGTGGATCTTGAGATGTGGCTGGCTCATGGAAAAATGTCTTGCTGCGTAAGCAAATCCTTTTTGGGGGGAACCTGTCGGAATCATAGTTGTCTCATGGCGTAAGCTTTGCGTAAGTGTTTTGTTAGCCAAGGCCTCACGTAAGCTAAAACTGTGGTAGCGTAAGCGACGTGCAAGCACAAGCGTAAGAACTTGATACGGCATAGAGGTTGAATTTAAATCATACGTTTTGGCCGAAGCTCAACTGTCAAGATTCTGCAACTGTCAGGATTCCGCAACTGGGATTCCGCAATATGCCACAGCTGCTAAGAACCACTCCATGATTCTGTCTGGCCTAAAACTGATGAGGAGACTAGTCAACTCTGCAGTCACTGCAACCACCTCTCCCTCTGCTTCTGCCATCTTCTCTGGCTTTGTCTTCTTTGGAGCCTCTTCTACTTCTGTTTCTGCCGTCTTCTTCTCCTTCTTCTTTGGAGCCTCGCTCCTGAAACACCTCAACCAGGATCACAGTGATGGCTGGAGAGACCTGACAAGATATGCTGAGTGACATTGCAGCGCACTGCGGAGTTCATCAAAGGGACCACGTCTGCACGGTCTACTCCCAGCGTGCTCTCATTGTTCACCACGATCTCTTCAAGCTGCAGGAGGCTTCAGAGGACAGCATACTCAGCCACGCTCTCAAACTGGATCTCATGGCACTCAACCCTGCAGTTGCGCTGGCCTACCCGGACTTCGACACTTGGCTGGCTGGCTAAGGGTATGTTCACACACACACTAATGAACCTCAAACACTGCGCATTCGTCTGTGGCAACATCATGCCAAACAGGGGAGCTCTGCGCTATCAGTACTTGAAATTGTATTAGAAGCGCGCCAAAACATGCTCTGCTTGCCGCCGCATGAGACTGCAGCCGTCGAATGCTGTGTACCTCTCCAGATCTCAGCTCTACTTGTCATCCTCCATCACGGGCACCATGGCCGAGGACTCAGTAGGTGAAGGAGATGAATGCCCTGACAGCAATGGATGGCCGTGGATCAAGAATCCCTCAAAGAGGCCAAGATCCACCATGTGGAATAACGCCGGGGCCAATGATTTTTTTTCCAATGGCCCGGGCACAATTCTGCCACAGGTCCTCAGCAGGATTCAAGCATGGCGTCAGACACCTGTCGAGGAACGACCCCTGCCCTTGAGGATCACCTTGAAGACCCTACTGGAAGCCCTGCGGTCGCCTGCTGAAACTCCAGCACACCGCAGCCAATCAGGAGGTGGCCCAAAGGCTGATCAAGATGAAGTACATGGTCATCGTGGCTCAAACGACACCTATGCCTTTCCAAAAGCTTGGAGCCCCACAAGGATTATGCCCTGACACTCCAACAGGCGATCCATGCATTGCAGCGTATCATGACTCTCCTCACGCAGCGCAGCCCCATCATCCGTTTCGGCGCTCTGCGGCCTACACCACAAATTCAAAAAAACGATCGAGACAGAATCCAAGCAGGGCCACCTGGCCATTCCATGGAGATTGAACGGCCTATGGACAATCTCAGTCATCTGGGATTGTGGCAACTAGTGGCCGCAAGGCTTTGACCTGGGAATCTTCACAGACAACCTTTGTCCCCTCTGATGCCGGACTGATCAACGGGCAGATGGATTGAAAGGCCATCTCTGGGCCCAAGCATCCAAGCAAAAGCAACAGAAGGGGTGGGTGCGGCAGGTTGGCGGGGAACGAGTCAGACAATCTTCGGGCTGCAGCTGACGCCAGCTTTGATGAGGGGGGGGAGCTGCGTTCGTGGGAATTGCAATTCAGAATGTTTGTTTCAGAACGCCAGTTGCAGAATCCCATTTTCCAGCTTCAGAGAATCCCAGTTTCAGGATCCAAGTTTCAGAACCCTAGTTGCAGAATGCCAGTTTTAGCCGATTAGTTTCCGAATCCGGCTCTAACCTGCCCCATTCACTTCACCTGTCACCCCTCAAGAATTCGCAACTCTTTTCTTGAAATAAGTGAAAGGACAGAAGCGAAGCATAAGCGTGAGTTTTCATGACTTTCATTTTGGGACAATATAGGTTGCTCTGAGGGCGGGTGGATGGCCATGGGTGGTGGGCCATTTTCGCTCAAGAGGAATCCGTCCTCTCATCGCCTTCGGGGGCTTGTGGCCACGGGCATTTCGGGCATCATGATCGTCGCGAGCGCCCTGTTTCAATTCGAAAATGTTCCCGTCCGAGCGTACGGCCAGCTGTCCGACTTGAGGAACCACTTGCTTAGGACGAGAATGGAGAAGATGTGATGAAGTTGGAGCTTTGACCCCGCGAGTGTCCGCTGCTGCCTTGGGCTAGAACACCTTGGCAAACGCCCGCCCAAGCAGTTGAGGAGTTTGAGAGGCGGCAGGGGCTGGAACGACTGGGTAGAAGAAGGTTGTTGAAGCAAGAGAACAACGGACAGCCCCAAAGCAAGGCCAGCAGACTCCGAGGAGAAAACGGAACGTAGTTCCATCTGATAGTTGGAACTTTTTGGCTAAAGACATCTGGGCCTCAAGTTTCACAAAAGGCCGCGTTGTTGCTAAATCTGCGCTTCAAAGTTTACAAGTGCAGCGCCTGCCGCGAAATCTGCGCATCAACATTCACATCGAGCAGCCAACACAGCAAACACATTCCAAAGACAACATCAAAATGTCGTCTTGGACTTGGTGGTGGTCTTTGGCGCACTCTGATGTTGTTTGAGTCGCAGTGGAGCATGAACTTTGGACATGTGGTCCGTGTGCAGAGGTTGGAGGAAGTGGTATCGAACGAGGGTTGCGTTTTGGAATGTGCATCAAAGATCATCAAAGTAAATAGGTTCCGAGCTCCTGCGCTTGCCACGGAAGTCAATTTCAAGCCACCAAAGCCATTCCATTGCGCTTGCCACGACAAGTGACCACCAAATCCGAGAATGCGCGCGTCACAGCAACGACAGTGCAGTCGAGGAAAGCGCCCGCTGGGGCCCAGTAGTTTGTGCGAACTTGAGCAGTCAAGACGCACTTTGATGATCTCGATGGTCAATACATGTAATCTATATATATATATATATCTGTGAATTACTAAACGACGCCTTTCAGCACCTCGATCAAAGCCCAGTCTTAGCCCCCACTGTAAGAACCCTACTCTGACCACACTGTTTGGGGAACAAAGGAGCTCGCGTGCCGTTGCCATTCCCTTGTTCGGACGTGGAAGGTCCAATATTTTAGCGAGACCAGGAAAGGATGGATTGATGCAGTGGTCACCTGGCAGCACTTGTGTTTGTTCTGCATGGCGCTGACTCCGGAACTCTTGCATCCAGATATATCTTAGGTCGAGGAGCGGCATGATAAGGATGGGGTCAATTATGTTCAATCAAGGTCGTTCACTTGCGCCTGACGCGGTGTGTGCTAGCAGAGTGTTGCTGCAACCGCAAAGTCCCGCTAGGAGGGCGCTGTCATATATGACCTGAATTGCAAAAAGGGTGTGCCAGCAGATCGCTTACGGAATCCACATGTTGAATACGCAGCGCCAACCTCAGCTTGTAATATTTTTCATTCGAAGACCTGAAAAAAGTAACAAATTCTGCATGCATCGTTGAAACTGAAAGGTCGGGGAGCAAGTGGAATATTGGAGTGTGACATCTCAACGTTGGATGCCTGCCATTGTGACTTGAATGTAACTCGAGCACTGAGGTGTGAAATGCGTTCAAACGAAATCACATGAACTTGGTTCTCCAAAAGGAATTAGCCTCAACCCTCAAAATTCATCAAAAGTTCTGTCATTGCCCATCGTGAAAATTGAGAGCCGCCAAACTCAAAGATGAATCTTCAATGCTTTCAGCGTGTGAATCCAAGGTTGAACACCTCCACGCAGAGGCCATGATGTATAGCTATTGCCACAAGAGGCAGCCCCAAAGGCCAAACAGGTCTGGAGGTCTGGAGTGTCAATAATATGCTTGGTTTGAATCGTCGAACGAAAACAACATTTTCGTTTTGTCTACTTTCTCTTACTGCAACTCGCCGTTGCCTTTCTTTTTGCTTTTTAGCATCGCTTTTCCTTGGTCCCATTCAACATGGACCTTGTATGACAATAATGTTGCAAGGCTACAGTGTGCGATCTGAATTTACACACATATGTATATATATATACAATTTGTTAATAATTGATTTTGCAGTGTAGTGTTTTGTGATCTTTGTGTGGCTTGCTCATCCTGAGAGTGAGGCCAAGACTTGCGACCTCAGTGTGAAACCGGGGGCTCCTTTGAGCAGAGTGCGAAAGGCCAGACGTCGGAACATGTTGAGCTGCTTAACGACTGACCGATCTTCACCGATCTCCGGTGCATTCAAGAGCATTCAAGAAAATAACCACAAAGTGTAAAGTCAGGGTCGATCATAGGTTGGAGGTTGCAACCTTTGCGCAAAGCCTGCAGAGCTGACTGGGGGTACAGAACATTACAGAACTCATGCTTGAAAACATTTGCTTTCTCAGCTCTCTACAGGTTCCTGGCAGTGCCACTATGGCACCGATTTTCAAGGCCAAGCTTTGTGTCGACAAGTGGGAGAAATGCGAAACTATTTGCAGTCGACAAGTCAGCCAGGGAGTTCGGGCGACGATCTCGCATGGAGTATTTGGCTGAGATTCGTAGTTCAACTGCCTGTTTCTGCTTCTTGCAATCCCTTTCTTGTGACTTTAGATTGTATGGAGAATGTTTGGCACCAAGTATCACACTCGGAGGTTGGCGTGCCTCCTCCACCGTTGGCATGCAGTTTCAAAGGAGGTGACCAGGCAGGTCGGAAATGAGATTGTGTGCGCCCTGCTGTTTTTTCATATAACAAAGGTGCAGTACTACAGCGAGACAAAGCAGCGATGGATGGAGACAACAGTTATCCGGATATACGAACAGGCCCTTATTGCCAAAGCTTCGCTCATGTGTTTGGCAACATCAGATGCTGACGTGGATGCTATGCACATGTCTTCAAGGAAGGCAACATTTGCTACGACCTCGACTGCAAGAAGGGCGTTTTTGCTGACAAGGTCCGAAGATGGAAACTCTAGGACCAGGAGAGAAGTGCGTGATTGTGATTGTTTCAATGCTACTTTATGATGCCTTATGTTATTTTATGTCTTTATGTTAGCGGTTCGTTGCATGCAACATTGCGGTGCGTTTTTCCTCAAGGTCCGTTCGTCTCTGAGGGCCTCTCAGGAGCGCTACGAGGCCAAGTCTAGATGGTAACCAGCTGTAAGCAAGATTGGCATACATATTTTTGACCACAATCGACAACAATCGACTTTCTCCAAATTTGCATCTTTCTTTCTTCACAGGTCGGTGAGTCTGTGGAGTATTGGAGTGTTTCGGCTGGACGCTGGCTGAGCGCAAAGGCTTGCCTCAAGGCCTTGTCCTTGCACTTGCTTTTAGTGCTTCCATATATGAGCAGGTGACCAGAGTCCGCCTGGATCTTGGACAGTGCGACCTGGATATCAAGTTCTGGGCTTAATTATACTTGGCCGTACAAAGAAAGCAATTGAGATAGACACATTTTTTTTTTTGGCATTTAGCATTAGACATCGAGGATGGCGGCGCCCATTGGAAGATTGCGACGTTCGCAGCAAGTAGCGCCGGAGTTTGTGAAACCCAGCCCTCCTCAAACTGAGCTTCCTGGGCTTCAACCAGCTCCACATGGGCCTCCAGAGTTTCCGCAGGGTCCAAATCTACCAACACCAGTCCCTCCAGTCGTTCCGCAAGCTCCAGCCCCAGCCCCAGCAACGCTTGGCCCGGCGATGCCACCAGCGATGCCTCCAGCGATGCCAGCAATGCCGCCACCAAGTCCACCCAGCGGCCCAAGCCCACCAGGCCCACCCGAACCTGAGATGGAATTGACACAGCCCGAACAAGTGAAAGAAGGGAAAGAGAAGAGCCCAAAGAGACAAGATATCCAAGAAAGCTTGCCGAGAGTGACGGAGAATCTAGAGAAGCAGGAGAATGAGGAACGGCAGAAAGCCCCAGAAAGAACTTCAGCACTTCCGGAAGGTCCAATGGAAGTCGCTGATAAATCCGATAAATCCTACAGTGTGCTACAAACTGCACCACCAGAACGCAAAGCCGCGGAACGCAAAGCTGCGGAACGCTTTGCGGAAGGGCCAGCTGTCCAAGAGGAAGAACGTGCAACAAAGCTGCCTGTTCAACTTCCTGCACCTCTCCCCGCAGCCTCATCCACACCAGGAGCCCCGCCCCTTCCACAAACTCAGAGTGTTCCCCGAAGGCCTGTAAGGTTGCCTGTGCCTCTTACCCCACCTCCAGACCGACGAGGAAACCAAGGAAACCATGCAAGATTGGGAGAGCACAAAGAAAAGGAAGACCCGAAACAGAAAGAACTGAAAGAAGAGCCAGAAGTCCGGAAGAACGAAGCGAGAGAAGAAACAAAGAAGGAAGAACAGAAGAAAGAAGAACTGAAAAAGGAAGAACCGACGAAAGAAGAAGTGAAGAAAGAAGAGAAGCGAGAGAACGAAGCGTTTCAGAAGAGAGAGGAAACGCCCGAAGAGGAAGTAGACTATGACGACGATGAGGTTGATGGTCTTCAGAGAGAAGACGTCGAGAAAGAAGACAGCCAGCCGAATGTGGATTCGCCCGAAGGAGAGTCTCAGGGAAAGGACAGCGGGCAGGTTCCGCAGAGTAAGGAGGAAGCGGGACAGGACAACGGAGAAGCAGAACTCAAGCCCGAGGCCACACTTCAATGTCTGCAAAGCGCAAGTGCACAATGCATGGAAACACAGTGTCTCTTGCAATTGCCATAGAATTTTCATGGATGCTCACCTGCAGTATCTTTCTGGCCTTATCAATCAAGCGTTTGCTCGCATGAAAGGAAAGAACCCAGTTAGAAGGACTCAGTATATAGATGCATCCAAAGGCATTTGGTCATTTGGCAATTCTTTTGTCTACTGACTTTGTTTTGTGTTTGAGCTCTCCAGGTGCAGCCTTTTCGTAGCTAGTTTGGTCACACACCACAAGTCTTGCATGAACAAGTACTGGTACAGCTAGGAGCAGCATGTGTCAGTGACGCATGCCATGCCCTTGGCGTTGTGGCTTGGGCCTGCGACACATGTTGCCTTTCTGACCTTGAGATCTGCTGCGCAAAGCACGCCACTTGACACTCTAAATCAGTTGCTATTATTGCCATAATATGCCATAATTATATAGCAGATGTGTTGATATTTGGCTGCGAGCTTTCGTGCATGTTACTGTGCATGTGGTGTGATGTTGGGCGCTATTGATGCGGGGGAGAAGGGGGAGAGGGGTGAGAGCGGGGGGCGGGGAGAGTAGACGCTATTTGCATGTTTATAACGACGCAGTGAAACTTAAAACATATTATAATACTGTATACTATTTTTTTTGCAGGTCTTGAAGTTCTAATTAGCTGTAACAAAGTCATTTTTTGAGGACCCCTAGTATGTAACAGCTATTCACTACTTGTACATGTCTATCTATTTAGCTACGGGTCACAAGATGTCACAAATGTGTATATCCAACCGTTACAATTTGGCTCAAGGAAACAAGCGCGTTCCCGTGCTGTTTCCGAAGGGTGCCGGGTGTTTCTGGCCTGTGGCCGGTACCCCTTTTGTCGCTTTCGCTTCCGCACTCTTCGCTTGCCTTCCGTTTGTTCGTTCGCCGCCGTGCCTTCGTTCGTTCGGCTCACTCTCGTGCAACGGGGTCTCGTCCGTCCGACTCGCCCCGCACACCCATTAATATAGATAGGGCATCCAGGGATTTAGCTTATTTCTTTTATCACTTACCTGTTGATAGAATAAGCTGGGCGTTCCCCTACGTCCCACCTGGATTGTTCACTCAATTGGTTATCAGCCGTAGCTCTGAGCTACAGGCAACACTCGACCCCGTCGAGTGGTCCATCGCGGCACGCTTTTCGTACCTTCGCAGACCACCGATGGGCCGAGTCAACCCCCAGCCGCAAGCAACCGGCGCCGCCTCAGCTGCAGCACCAGCCACGGCGCTTGCTGGGGATCCTCACGATCAAGAGGCACTCGCCTCCCCTGAGGAAGTGGTTGGAACCGCGCCTAGCGCGGAGACCACGGACCAAGAGCTCGAAGAGGCACCAGACGCCGATCCTCTTCTTGCTCCCCGGGTCGCAACAGGCATCTCCTCATCACAACCCACCTTCACACCGCCCGGTTCTGTAACCGCCGGTGCGGAAGAACTTGAGGAGAATCAACAAGACCTCGTTGCAGAGCCAACCACCAAAGAGTTGCCATTTGAAACCAGCACCCTTGGTGCATCTAACGCCGAAACCCCTCCCATCGAAGCAGAGCTCCAGACCGGAACCGCTGCTTCGCGCGGAGAGGTCTCGGACGCTCAGGACGATTCGTTAGGCCCCGATAACGCCGAGGAACCGCCCTTCGATGCCTTCTCCCTATTAGGCCCACCAAAGATAGAGCCGACCACTAAAGAAGAGGAAGTTGAAGAGTTCGCTGATCCCTCAACAGCCTCGGTAGGCCTACCACCACTGCATACCCATTATCACCCCACACAATTCGATTCGCTGGCCACTGATCCAGTGTTCGATGAGGAGGCGGTGGATTACGGAGACGAGGACCTCGACGACGATATAGTCGACCAGCCGGAGCCCGTAGTCAAAGGTGAGCAGGAGGTGGACGTGGGTGATGAGGAAACCGCGCCGAGCGCGGAGGCATCTCAACCAGCTTCAACGGCCGTCGATCCACAACCCAAGCGCACGCGCGGGGCAAGGGGAGGCCAGAAGCACCAATTTGAACAAGCAGACAAAAAGTACGCGATCACTTGTGATCTCATTGCGAGTCACCTGTCAACCCTCACGTACCGTCGAGTTGGTAGGACCTACCAATTGTCGTTCGTGAAACCGCTGTTAGCGCGGAAGGACTACCCTGAATGGTATAAGTACGTAGTTCATCATGCGGACGCTTGGGCTGAGACTCCCGATGAGGGTAACATCTCCGACGGAGCTCTCAGGGCATGGGCAGCTATCCTCCCGGAATTCTGGTCACGGTGCTCCCGCTATATGCCGGATATAGTGCAAGGGGTTAAGCAACCCATGTACCGATTTCCCCCAGGTTATTACAAGAAGACCTACAAGTTTATTAATGTAGACTCTTGATTAATCAACCCCCCCCCCCCC